TGCCATCATACTCAAACACTGGCTGTGGTAAAGGCAGTGAATTCTGTGAGGCTTCATTCCTTTCTTTTAGGGAGAAGTGACTCTTTAAAAAGCAATGTTGTGGTATTTCCCCATCTGGATGCTGCCTGAAAACAAACTGTCCTCCAAAGAACAGAACACCGTATGTCTTCTCTCAGCTTATTGGTTTATGAATGACTTTTTGTTGCTGTTTTGCTAATACACACTCTGATGTCATTTTCTATGTTTGTGAGGTATATCTTCTTCCTACTTGCCCAGCTGTAGAAAGGAGCCAAGCCCACCCATTTTTCGATTGGCTCTTTTAACTTTAAGTTCCTCCATGGTGATGTTTATAACAATGTAGGGAGAAGAAAAATCTCAGGCAAGGGTAACAGTTACTTATCCTTCCAAAAGATCCACATAGTTCCTTTTGTATGGCCCAGTCATGAACAGAAGATGATAACAGATTCATTTTTCTTTTGGCTGACATTTTTTTCCCAGCAGTCTGCAAGGTGTTGAAAACCTGGCAGCTGTTGCCTCCCGGGATGAAGATACTTTTTTATCGTCCCTTGACAGTTTAACTCGGTGGGTCAGCACCTTTACAGACTGCAAAGTATCCTTGAAGAGGATGGAAGCTTGAATTACTGCTCCCTCCCTAATCAATGTAAACCCTCACTGCAGGTGAAGTTGCCATCTATAGAGGTGCACAGGGGAGGAAAATGGAATGCCCTGAGCCAGATGGTTTTTATCTTGTTTTTAAAGAATAAAGGAACAAGCTAACAAGGGAGACAGCTACTTTGTTAGCTTCTTGGCCTCTCTCATGGCTTTGCATCCCCAGGGTTCCAGCTACACAAGAGAAAGAATACAGGAAAATGTAAACACTTAAAGAAATATAACTAGAGGGCTGGCATCATGCTGCTTTCAAAGAGCCGAGAGCGCTCCACTCAATGCTTTATTTATCACTGCCCACGTTCTCAGGATGGTAAGTGGACACACACACAAAAGGGGTGGAGGACGGGAGAAGAATTAGGCAGCAGTCAATTTACTCAATTACTGAGAAAAGGAGAAGTGACAGATCCTATTAGCCCCAATGTGAACAAACAAGAGATGCATGTGGTAATGCTACATTTTCAAAAAGTAAAGAACATTTTCACTATCTTCTCTGGCCGCCCCCATCACACACGAAATATAAAACAGTGGTTATGGTTTCTATAGCTTCACAGTTTAGGAGTAAAAGCAGAAGGAAAATTGTATCTATGTTGCACTTTTTAAAAGTTCATACTTAATGCCAAATGATGACAAAAGAAGTTGTTTCACAACTTTCTCCTTCACTATTTCTGGTAATTTCTCTGTCAAGTTTTCAAAGTGTTATTATGATAGTCTTAAAACACAGGCCCAAAGGAGTCTTTCCTTTTGTGTTTTAAGAGAGGGTTTGTAGTACAAGATTGCTATTATTTCTGTTTTAAATGGTTTTTAATTCACCAATGAAACCACAGGAACATTTTGATAACTTAGATTTTATACTTAATAGACATAACTTTCTTTTACCTTGTGCTAACTTTGTAAGCTGTATTTTCAAAGAATCTGCCCATTTTATCTAGTCAATTTTTGCCATTAAGTTATTTATAATATTCTAATATTCTTTTAATGTCTCTAAGAATTATAGTGATAACCCTTTTTTCAGCTCCTACAATATTAAAACAGCTTTTCAAATTAATATTAGTGGCCATGTCCCATCAACAGTGGCAAGCCTTTGCCTGAGAATAAATGATATAAACTATAAGGTTTAGTTATCACAATATTAGGTTGTTAGAGTACAAATGAATTTTTTATATTTAAGAGTAAGAGATTTCTTAAACTGTATTAATTTCAACTGAAGAGACTGGCCCCCATGAAGCAAACACTCACTTTAGACTGACTGGCCTTGACATCTTCTTATCTATAGATCATGACAATGGGCAAACAAAATAGCAAACGGCATTTCCTTATTGTCAAAGGCAACAGAGAAAAAGCGGAGTTTAAACAGCTTGTGTATTATGCACTAGATTAAAAAAAAAAACCAGCAGTGGGGTAATCAAGTTCAGGGCAGTCCTGGACAGCTGCCCTGTGACCCGCTTCTATTGACCCCTGCTATTCATCACTCTTTCCCAAGATTGGGAGGGCAAGCTCCTAGGGAGTGACCACCACAATAGACAGACACAAGCCAACAGTAATCTGGTTCAAGCAAAAAACCAGATGGCACTGCAATAAATTTACAAATCTGCATTCATGGGGCTGTTTTTACACCCAGAAGCTAAAAAGCTCCGAGGCCCCAGGAGGATCTCCTACTTCCCTAGTTCTAAAGGCCATTTCTCTTTCCAAGAACACCGAGTTCATGCTCTTCACAAAGAGAATGGAGATAAAACCCTTTACAAAGAAGGGGGGGGGGGTGAAGCCTCATGACCTAATTAATCTCCAGAGCTTGGATCTCAACCCTGAATGGCAGATATTAGAAAAATCATTCTGAAGAAATGGGGGGGGGGGGTAAATTAAAGTGGAGGGAGTGAAGAGAACCTGCTAAAATAGCAACGGGGAAAAACATTAAATCTCTCTCAAATACTGCACACAACAGATCTTGCAAGAGGAAAATTATTCAATAATGTATGCATTTATTTTTAAAATGAATCAGATTAGTCCCATGTGTGACCTGCTGGTCCATCTGTATGTGCTGGACTTAATAGGCACGATTCTCTCTCTTGCTTCAGTTTGAAGTATGAGAGAGATAAATTTAGTTTAATTTTCAACAGATCAGCCTATCCATTTTCCAAATGGACCATCTGGATCAGCCTATTAAAATTAATTTATAACTTTGCAGAGTGAAAATTCGTTTGTTAGCTTAAATAAAGTTGCCAAAACTTTTTGTCGCATCACTGTTTTCTGACAGTTGCTTCTGTATAGTGGGTAGAGAGTCTCCATCTCCAAGTTTACCTTACTCAACAGTGCTCTGATCATTCAGCATACAGATCTGGTATCTATCTCCAAATAATTAAACTGATCATTTCAACATCAATTTGTTTGTTTGTTTTGAAAGCTTTCTATATTGACTTAATTCTATTTAAAACAATTATTTTTAAAAAAAAATGGGAAAGTGCCTATTCAAAAAAAGAGTTAACATACACTAAATGAAAAATGATTGTGGCATGCTTTCAAGTGCTTTCCTTTTAGGTTAAAGCTATGAAAACCGGACTCTGGAGGCAGAAGTAGAAATTTTTTGGAAATAGTAAGGTCCAAGTTCCAAATCAATGAGCAGTTCTGATCAAGCCTAAGCTCTTCAAGCTTCCATTAGTTTCATCAGTAAATTGGAAATCATATATCTACCAACTCAGCAGGGCTATCACTGAATTAAATGAAATAAATATGCTCATTGTGGGTATCCATCAAAAACCATATCACTGCTCTCCTGTGTCCTAAAACAAGGCCATAAACACAACAATTTAAAATTATTTGTATTACTGCTGGTACTCATTTTATACAATTTGATACTAAAAATGACTGTGACACTTATTTTCTAGCTATAATTAATAAATAATTTAACGACTTATTCTGTTTCTAGTAAATAACGAAGTATTAACAGGTTATAGTAGCGAGGACTTGTTTTCAGTCACCATTTTGGATATTTTAATTAAAAAAAAAACATGGGCTGGAGAGATGGCTCAGCAGTTAAGAGCACTGGCTGCTCTTCCAAAGGTCCTGAGTTCAACGCTCAGCAACCACATGGCGGTGGCTTGTAATCATCTGTAACAAGATCTGGTGCCCTCTTCTGGCCTGCAGGCATAAGTTCAGGTGGAACACTGTATAATAAATAAATAAATAAATAAATAAATAAATAAATAAATAAATAAAATAAATCTTTAAAAAAATCGTTAAGACTGAATTTTCACAAGTAAAATACATTACCTCTGGGAAGCAGGGCACAGAAGCCTGAGGAAAAGGGGTTTAAAGTTTTCTCTTTTTTCCCCCTATGTGTGTGTATTATGCAAGCATGTGTGCATGTATGCAGAGGTCCTCAATCACTCTGCACCTTACTCATTGAGATTCCCTCCTGGGATCTCCTGTCTCTCTGCCTTCACAGTGCTGGATTCCAGGTGGCCTGTCACGCTCATGGGTTATGGGGATCTGAACTCTGGTCCTCATGTTTTCATAGCAAGTACTTTAAACACCGAGCCATATCTCTAGTCCCACAAAAAAGGTTTTAAAGTAACCATCTATAGTGGACTTCACTTCTAGAAACAAAACAATACAGATTCAAACTAAAAGAAACTACCTTTGTTACAGAACTGTATTATTATTATTGTTATTACTATTACTACTATTTAAATGTATGATGAACGTTGGCCAGGCATGAGGTACAGGCTTATAATCCCAGGACTCAGGATGCCAAGGTGGGAGGCCTATAACATCAAGCCTTCTAGCCTGGGTTATTTAATGAGCTATTTAATTTAAAACTAAAATGTATAAATAATCTTTACTGAGAAATATTAGTGTTAACTATTTCATGACCATTCTATAAGGTACTTAAGGTCATCTTGCCTAAACAAGACCTCTTTACTTCAATTTAAATATTTACTATATATACAGGCTGCCTTGTACTTTTGCATTCAGAATATCATTTTTTGTTGTTGTTGTTTTGTTTTCTTTTGTTTTTGGAGACAGGGTTCTCTGTGTAGTTCTGGCTATCCTGGAACTCACTCTGTAGATCAGACTAGCCACAAACTCAAAAAGATTCTCCTGCCTCTGCCTCCCAGGTGCTGGGATTAAAGGCGTGCGCCACCACAGCTGGCTACATCCAGGATATTTTAAATGACTGAAGTATGTTACCTGATTGAAACTGACGGCTATGGCCAGACCAACTTCAGAATACAGGGCTCTTGATTTAAACGCCAGTGTTTAAAGAGCGATAGTCAAGGGTTCCCTGTCTTTCGCTTTGTTGTTGGAAGCTTTTTAAGTAAGACTGAATTTCATACCTGTCTAAGTGAATTCTTCTCTGGTATTATCTTCCTAGGGGGTTCGCCATTATTACAGTCTTCTCTCTCTGAGGAATTCTGTGAAAGAAAGTAAGCTTTAATTCAGTTCTCATTATCTTCAGTCTTATTCTGTGGCAGTAAACTGAATTACATTTCTAATTCTGTAAGCGAGAACACCATGTATATTTATGCATTTGAAGATTTATATACATACAGACATACACACATGTAAAAGAAACCATATGCCCATGTATATAAATAAATTCACGTTGGGATCTGGGTGGAGGTATTCTGTCTGTTTAAGCACTACTCAGAAGAATCACACTGACTAGAAGTCTAGTTTATCAGACTTTGACACTGGGCTGATAAGGAAGTCCTAGGTCACATTTAGCTGATGACAATTTAAGCCATGATTATTATTTCCTCTTTTATGTAATCAGTCTTCAACTACTGTGACTGTTTGATACTTAGTCTGAACTCTTAGAAGGATCAATCTCTTGTTCTCACCTCACATTTGATTTTCTTTTTTACACAAAAGCAGTGTAGTTCTTATTAACACAAGTAGTATTTACTCTAGGATTTAAGATTAGGGTCCATTTATTTGTCACTATCACTTCAAATAGTAGCTACAAGATCCTAAAATGTCAATGGGATTTTTATATACCAAGGAGAAACAATTAAATTAAAAGCAAATTCAAAAGTGTTCAAAATCAGTTGAGTATGGTAGCTTATGCCTTTAACCACAGCACTGGGAGACAGGCAGGAGATTCTCTGGAGTTTCAAGTTTGAGGCCAGCCTCATATGTTTAATGAGACCCTCTCTAACAAACAAAACAAGGACAACAAATGTTAACCATTTACAAAACCAACACAGAAAATCCCAATTACATTTATTTGAATTCTCAAATAACAGTAAAAGATTACAGTTCACAGCTGACAAATTTATTACATTATATAAAATCATCACATTCTAACTACTAGAGTTTATTTTTTACATTTAGGACATATTTCCTGAATCTAAATATGAATTTATCTGGAAAATTTCATACATGTATAAAATTTATTTAATCGCCACTGTGCTGTAAATCAACATAAAATATATTCTGTTTTGGGAGAAAAGAAAGGAATGAAAACTGCCCAAGGAGTAGGGAGAAATAGTTGAGTTAATGACTATAGAGTACTACAAATGAGGAAACCAGGTACTGTTTTTGAGACAGGGTCTCACTCTGTAGCATTGGCTGGCCTAGAACTCACTATGCAGAAGATTCGTGGAGATCTGCCTGTCTCTGCCAGAGTGTTATAATTAAAGGCTAGGTGTTATCGTTAAGAAGAATTTTTTTGTTTGTTTTTGTTTTTCAAGATGGTTTCTCTGTGATTTTGGAGCCTGTCCTGGAACTAAGCTCCTGTAGACCAGGCTGGCCTCAAACTCACAGAGATCCACCTGCCTCTGCCTCCTGGGTACTGGGATTAAAGGCGTGCATGTGCCATCACCACCCGGCAGTTAAGAAGAGAAAAAGGAAGAAAAACCTGTAAACATTGTTCAGAGTTAGTTCTTTTTTGATAGATTAACTAAACACTTATTTTGGCCAACCCACTAAAAGAAAGCAACCAGAATGAAAAACCCAGCATAACAGTTACATAAAACAGAGGTAGCAATGCTAAGTAATTAGGCTATAAGGGGCAAGGAACTGGTTGTTGCCTAATACTGAAGGAGAAATGTGGAGTGTCAGTAAATTAGAGATGAATAATCACTCCAACATGGAGAGTAACAATGGATGAAGAAATTGTCACATGAGCCTAATAGGTCACCTTGGCGGTCCTCAGGAACCTCACCACTAACACCCAGAAGAGTTCTATTACTTACTGTCTGCACCCTATGAGAAGGAATCCCAACAACTGTTCCAGTAAGTTAAGTTACAGGCAATAAACTCAAGAGTAACTAGTTGACACAGGGGAGAATCACCTAGGGGCTACTAAAGTAGCAGGTGAACCTTTTATAAATAGTAGGGCTGTTACATTAATTTCAAATGTATCCCCCTAAGATACTTAAGAAAAAAAAAAAGAGTAACTCTACAGTGGAGAAATCTGGCAAACAACCAGCTCCTTACCAGTGGTCCAGCTTTCCTTTTGGTCCCATACTTATGCTCCCATTACTCATTATTTTACCCATTACTTTTTTGTTTTCAGCACATCTGGGTTTCCAGTAGTTTTTCCCCTTTGATTCAATTTTAATATACTCAAGACTATTTCTGCATTCCAACTGCCTCTCCTCTAGTCCAGACCAACAATATTTACTTTTGACAAGCTCTGATAGCTTTGCTTCAGTCTGTACCTGACACAGCATATACACTACTGTCAGAGCTGCCATGCTAAAAAGGTTATTTTGCTACTCAGAAACCCTTTAAGTCAGGCATGGTGGCATATACCTTTGATCTCAGCACTTGGGTGGCAGAGGCAGGTGGATATCTATAGATCTCAGACCAGTTTATCTATATAGCAAGTTCCATCACAGCCAGAGCTATATAGTAGAGAGATTCTGCTTCAAAAAATAAAAAGAAACCTCTTATAGCTCCTGGTACTTATATAATTGACCCAAACTTAAATCATTACAACACTAGTAATTTGGCCAGTGTAACTTGACAAAGCATTGCATCATTTGCATAGCATTATTTATCATCCATCAAAATAAGAACGTACTTGTTCATTCTTGTGTTTTTGATAATGCGAATTCCTTTTCTTCTCCCCACCTGCATCTTTCTTTTCTTTTCTCTCCCTACCTTCTCTTTCTCTTTGCTCCCCCTTTCACTCTTCCTCCTCCTCTATGCCCCTACCTCCTCTCAGACAGGGCCTCATTATTTAACAGCCTCTATCTTGTGACAATACTCCTGTCTCAACCTGAATTGCCAGGGTTATAGGTATATGTCACTATACCTGGCTCTTTTTCTCTCTGAAACAACTTTGTTCTATATAGTCCAGGCTGACCCTACACTCAGTATGTAGTCAATGATGACCCTGAAATCTCATTCCTCTCATTTCCCAAGTGCTTGAGTTACAAATGTGTAACATCTCACCTGGTTCACTTTTTCTAATTGTATTTGCTCAATATAATAGTAGCCTGTCTCCCTAATCTTTTGATCTATTAAAATCTCAATTCAAAGTTTGGTGAGAGGGCCCAGTGAAAGATGTTTGTCACCAAGACTGATGACCTGAGTTCAATTTCTGGAACCTATGTGGTGTAGGATAATAATCAATTCTTGCAAGCTATCCTATGACCTCAATATATGCCTATCCTGGTATATAAGACTTTAAACATTCTCCCCCCCGCCCCCCCGCCTCCACACACAGAGAATAAAATGAAATAAATGCAATTAAAAAAAAAACTTGAGAGCCGGGTGATGGTGGCGCACGCCTTTAATCCCAGCACTCAGGAGGCAATGGCAGGCGGATCTCTGTGAGTTCGAGACCAGACTGGTCTACAGAGCTAGTGCCAGGACAGGCTCCAAAGCCACAGAGAAACCCTGTCTCGAAAAACCAAAACAAACAAACAAACAAAAACAAAAAAAAAAAAACCTTTTGATTCAAGTATCAACTAAAATACCATTACAAAAAAGTTGGTGATTATCATTCCCTGGGGGAATTAATGTCTCTGAATACTGATTTCCAATCTGGCACTTTTCAATATATATCTTGATATCATAGTTGATCTCTTACACTCATGAGCTGAAGCTCTCTACCCTCTCTTAGTGCTGGAGGTTGCTAGGTAAGGTCTACCACTGAGCCACATTCCAGTTCTCCATGTCATATTTGTGTATGAATATGCCTTCAACCTATGCTGTGAAATTCCTCCAAGATTGGCCATTTTTTCCAATTCCACATTCTAACAGAAGAGAACTGACCTCTTCAAGCTGTCCACTGACCTATACACACACACACAGACACACACACACACACACACATTTACACACACTTTCCTGGAACCAAACACCCTTCAGTTTGACTTTCGAGTCCTTCCCTCAACTGTTTATATTCTGCCTTTGTCAAACAAATCTCTTCATATGCCACACAAACTTGTTTTATGACATTGAATATGAGTGAAAGATTCCTTAATTCTACTGTAGCTCGACTGACAATTATGAACATAAGAAAATTATTCAAGCTCCAATATCCTTAAGATGAGGTTAAACTGTCATCTTCACTAAGAAACAACATAACCATTCCATCCTATTCTACTGAAAATTGTCCTCTGACCTCAATATATTTATTCATCATGGCATGCACAAGTTTGCCCATATGCACAAACACTAAAAGAAGCAATTAAAAAAAATAAAGTCAGAGCCAGGTGGTGTTGTTGCATGCCTTTAATCCCAGCATTAAGGAGGCAGAGGCAGGCAGATCTCTGTGAGTTCGAGGCCAGCCTGGTCTACAAGAGCTAGTTCCAGGACAAGTAGGGCTGTTATATAGAGAAACCCTAAAGTCAAAACCCAATTGTTCACTATCATGTAGAATGGCAAATATACATGAAAATAAAAAAGAACTTAAGACTAATTTCTAATAACCAGCTGCAAAATTATGTAATGAGCTTTGCAAGCAACTGGAGTAATACTTTTACCCATTAACCTGTTCTGTGATTTGGCAGTAACTTTAACCTCCAAATACACATGATTTCCAATTTATAAAAATAGAAGTTATTCTGTTACAAGGTTAAAAGGTAATTTAGCTAGATAAAGAATAAAAACTCTTTAGTGAAAAGTGACATCTCTCTCTCTCACACACACACACAGAGAGAGAGAGAGAGAGAGAGAGAGAGAGAGAGAGAGAGAGACAGAGAGAGAGACAGAGAGAGAGAGAGAGAGAGAGAGAGAGAGAGAGAGCGCCTTATAATGCTGATAAATGCCTATAATCCTTATGCTTGGGAGGCAAACACAGGAAGATCAATGAAAGTTCAAGGCCAGCCTAGTCTACACAGTGAGTTCCAGGCCAGCCAGTGCTACAGAGTAAGACCCTATCACCAAAGACAAAACAAAACAAACAAAAACCAAGCAAACAAACAAAAACCCACAAAACCTTACCAGCACTCTG